TATATATATATATATATATATATTCAGAAATAATTATATAATAATATTTTATCGCTGTCTCCCATAAAGAAAATTATAGTTTTTAATATTTTATGAGACTCATCTGTATAATAAAATAGTAACAAAGCTATTTACTAATGGATCGTCTAACTTTAAAGAAAAATAAGTAAAATCATGGTCATATGGTGCCATATTTAAATGTCGTATAATATAAAAATTAGTCACAAGGCTCAAAAAGTCATTGACCTAAATTGTAGTTTCTACTTCGTTACATTCCATAAAATATTCTCACACATAGAGATACTATTAGATAAATAATCAATTTAAAAATATATACAGAATTGCTGTATTTTTTTTCAATAATGATTTTTGTTAATCGATTTAAAATAGAATGAATGATAAATTTAAAATCATTCAATTTAGTATTAGATATTATAGATTATAGTACTAGATATTATATTAACAACAATATAATATAAATATAAAATTTCTTTATATTTAATATTCAAACTATTATTTATTTAATGTATAATCACATTTTGATATTTCCACTTTTATAAGATATTTAAACATTTAAAAATAATTAGAAGAGATATTTTTCTGAGGAATTATTATTGAAACAAATATTTTTGGAATTTCAAGATAATCGCAAAAGAACGCGAATGTAATTAATATATATATATATATATATATATTTTACAAACTTCTATACATTAATTATATTTCTATAACATAAAATTTCTATATTAAATAATTATATGTGAAAATGTACTTACAATTCTAGTCATCTGAAAACAGAGCAATGTGTAGATACAACTTTATCACCTTACCTCGAATGTTTGCTCTATACTACATTAATATGTGAACAGTTATCAATTGGAGATAATGATTTAACATGATAATCTTATGTATATAGATAAAATCTATAAATTTATGTTTAAAAAAAAACATTAAAATACTCATATATCATTTTCTCAAGTAATACTGGTAATACACATTTCTACAAAATTAAATTAAATGTTTCTGATATTTATTAATATGATTATTGACCAAATAATATCAATTTAATTCTTTTAGAAAACTTTTAGAAATATTTATCTTTTATCTTGTGCAAAAATATTCAAATAAAACAAAATAAATACTAGTCTTTTAAATCATGATATTCATAGGTGAAAAATAAAATAATGAAACAGAAGTATCCAATTTTTTTTTATAAAAAGTATCTTTTATCATAATAATAATATGTTAATATAATTTTATATATTTCTTAAATATTTGATAAACACGCAAATTTTCTGATTAATCGTATCGAATAAGAATTGATATTTAGAGTAATAAGAAAATATCAAATGAAGAAACTCACACGCATAAAGAAAATTAGTGCACAAAACAAGTGAGAAATATAAATTCAAACAATTAAGTAGAGATCCAATTTCAGTAAATCCTTCACTGATATACTCTCGATAGTGGCGTGATTCATTTTTATAAAGCTTCGATTTGTTATCTGCCCGTGACCTACGCATGCAATTAATCCGCAGATAGAGTGATACATCACGTGGCTATTATCTTTACATATTTATAGATGCATGTATTGGCAGAGTGTTGACAAAATGATACAATTATAATGATACAGATTGTTCAATTGGTTGAAATATTGCAATCAATTCACAAATACAAATCTTATCTGTTGAATTTATATTCTGAAAAATTTTAATGTGTTAGCGTCCAATTTTTTTTTTAATACATATTTTAACATTTCAGGATCTTGCAATAAGATTGCAAATTGTATAAAATAAGTTAGTTATGTTGCATTACGAAATATTTTATAATAAATTAAATAGTTCGACGAAAATTCGCGAAACGAAAAACAAAATTTTAATAATTTGTGGCTTTTTATTAACAATAATCCCCCATGATACAATCTAGACGTGTAGCAATCTCTTGATAAAAATTATAAGAACGTTCAAATAATACTCTATTATAAAAACCTAATTTTATACACTCTTATTAATATTTTATTTATATATTATTTATATATTATTTATATATTTTTTTTAAATATAAATTTGATAAATTTTTTTCCTATTATCCTTAAAATAACTCAAAATAGCTCATAATGAATTTAACAACTCTATACAATAAATTATTTAACGAATTTTATAATTGTATACGTTTCATATAAAACCGTTGAGGCTAACGTATGCTGGAGCGCACAGTATATTTTTCTGTTGACCATGAGATCTTGAATGAAAACAATTTTGAAACACTCTGTATGCCATTCGCTTAGTAAATTAAAGCAAATAGACCGCTCAACGCAGACATTTCGTGTCTTTCTCGTCACAAGTTACATCTCGAGAAAAAAATTACGATTACGTAGCAAAGATAGAAGAGACAAGAAATTGTTGACGTAATAGGACCCCCCACGGATCGAGCGAACGAATAGTGATAACGATTGCTGATTGGTGTCACTTGTTTGTCTCTTTCATTTTACTTTAGTCTGCTTTGTGCTGTCTATCGGACGTGTCGATTGTAAATATGACTGATCAAAGTAAAACAGGAGTGATCAATTTCGGCGCTGGCCCGGCTAAATTACCACACGAGGTACATTAATTAATATTTTTTTAAATTTGCATTATATACATATTATATATGCATATTAAATAAAGTTGTAATATTAGAAGATTCTGACAAAACTAAATAATCAATTTTATAAAATCAACTTTAATAGTTTACAAGATCTCTTTTAATAATGAAAAGCGTTTGATTATTTTACATAGATTAGAATCTATATACAATTCACTAAACATAAAAAAATGGAATAATTAGTTTCTTAGCATATGTTTTCAAGCAAAACGCAATATGAATAGAATTTTGCAACAGATTGACGTCAATTATTTTGCATTAAGAAATTTATTTTGCATTCGTATTCTCTGAGTAGAACCTTCTGGCATATTTCAAAGGCAGATTTTTCCAGTAGAAATCGAGAATAATCCGTCATTTCGTAATCATATTTAAACGAAATATATCATTTAAATGATTACGCGCGAAATGATAGATTTCACTTGGTTTCTGTAATTAATCTCTCATTATATTCTGCTAGTAGAATTGTGCCGATAAAATTTTGCAGCACTTTGCTAAATTTATTTTTGATAGATTAAGTTATATAGGAACGTAAATAAGAAAGATAATGATAATATTAGAGATTTACTTTTTAAAGATAACAATCCAAAGAACATTGACATCTTAAGACGTTTTAAAGACGTTATAATATCTTAAAATATTTTCAAGATATCTTTTAGATACGTATGTTATTTGATGATATTTGAGATCTTTTTTATTTCATCTTTACTTCATTGTTTAGTAAAATTATATTTATAGAATTATATACGTACTTTTATATATATATATATATATGAAGAAAAATTAATGATTATTATTATATAATAGTACGAAGTCCCAAATGGTTCCTGAGTAATTCTGTAATTCGAACTAATTGGTCTCGATTGCTATGTTAAAACATGTTATTGTTAAAACATGTATTGTTCTGCCAAGATCGTGGATAACTTTTGCATTCGCGTTGCTAAACTTTTTTAATACTTATTTTATTTATGCTATGTTTTCACTATATACTATACTATTTAAATATTTTGCAATATATAAATATATATTACATAATAGCAAGATTTACAAAATTCATAATTTTCGAATAAACAAAAAATTAACTATGTCTCATGATAAATAAATAAATAGTATATTTGCATATAGTATAATTGCAATGTAAATAATATATTTGCAATGTAAATATTATGTTTGTAATGAACACAAAGGATGTTAGAATTGCATTTTTGCTGTTAAAGCGATCACGTTGCATTTTTATACTTATTATCAACTGAACTAAAGAGATAACGGAAAGAAGGGGGTCAGTCGCGTTCATTGAACTAATAACAAGCATTGACAGTTAACTAGGATTACTTCATTTTCAGGTTCTGAAAAAGGTACAGAAGGAATTACTTGCGTATGGAAATACGCAAATCAGTATTCTCGAGTTAAGTCACCGGTCAAATGAGTTTAAGAAAGTTATCGATGATGCGCAGGCCATATTACGAGACATTCTGTAAGTCAAAAAATAAATGTTTTCGATTTGTTGAATCGAGTTTTATCTCATGCAGTTTCTCCATTTGTTCTCTTTACTTCTCTTTTTTTCCATCCTTTGAAAAAACTGAAGTGAGAATCACCAAATCAATTATTAGAGAGATTGAGTTATTAGAGAAATTAAGTTATTTGACAAATATTACTTATTTTAAAAATGATATAAAACATTGACATTGTATGTTATAAAATATAATAAAATATATCGATAGACATAGTAATATATTTATTTTTGCTAGACATTTGAAAATAAAAATAATATATATATATATATATATATATATTCTCAATCTTAATTTTTAATTTCTTATTCAAATTGACATTTTTTCACAAAATTTACAGATTAAATAATTTAAGCATAATTTAGAAATTTTTTTATTAATAGTCTATTACAAAATAAAGATATTATATTTAGTAGACAAAGATTATATTTCAACGTAGCAATATCTTACTTTTTTAATAAAATATAATCTGACTTTCTTTATGAGTTCTTACAAATGATTTTTGTTTTTAAAGCAATATCCCTGACAACTATAAAATTCTGTTCATGCAAGGAGGCGGCACTGGAATTTTTGCAGCAGTTCCTCTGAATATTATGAATAACGGCACTGCGGATTATTTAGTAACTGGTAGGAAATAAAAATTGTAATTTCTAAGTCTGTAATAAAATAACGTAACACACACGAAAACGGGATTGTTTAGGTTCATGGTCTGCAAAAGCGGCGAAAGAAGCGGTCAAGTATGGAAAAGTGAACATGGTATTACCTAAAACAACAAAATACACAGAAATCCCGGATCCTTCCACCTGGCACCTGGATGCCAATGCATCATATGTTTATTATTGTGCTAACGAAACTGTGCATGGTAATTAAAACACATTGCTCTTATACTGACGTATATTGAAACATGTATATTTCCAGGAATTGAATTTGATTACATTCCGGAGACAAATGGAGTGCCACTTGTTGCTGATATGTCGTCTAATATACTTACAAAACCGTTCGACGTATCTAAAGTAAGTATTCAAAATAAGAACATCTCGGTTAAAAGTATATGAAGATGAATAATGTCTCAAAAATTTTTGCATCATATAACATACATGTTTCTTTTGTTATCCTATGTTTATCAACGATATTAAGAAAATTTAGAAAGACATATTAAAATTTAGAAAGATATATTTATAAGATAATAAATAATTTTTAATTATTTATTATCTCATAATATTAGATATAATTACTATATTTAATAAATGTATATTTTAATAAATATATATTTCTTATATATCTTTATATAAATATATATATCTTATATATCTTTATATTTATCATTAGATACTATGTTTTCATTCAGTTTGCAGTGATTTTTGCTGGTGCTCAGAAGAACATTGGGCCAGCTGGTGTCACTTTAGTGATCGTACGAGATGATATGCTCGGTCGTGCCATGGATGTATGTCCGACGGTGTTAAATTTTACTGTCATGGCAAATGATAATTCTTTGCACAATACTCCGCCCGTTTTTCAGTGAGTGTCATAATAATTAACTGAGGGAAATGCATGTAAATAACATACATAACTGATTCGATATATAAAGTTATTAAAAACAGATACTAAGGAAAAGAAGTTTACAAAACACTTTACATTTCTATATTTAGAATTTTATATATTTGAAAAAAGTATGGAAAAGAGTAGCTTTTAAGAGTATCTTATATATCTTTCTTTTACATTATTTTTTCATTTCAAATACGGCAACTTAACTAATAATTTTTATAATATTCATAAATTTCATATATAGAACTTTCTTCAGCAAAAGATAATTTTCTTTATTGCATTTAATTTTTGTTTTATAGTTTTGATTGTCGTAATGAAAGCTTTCACAATTATAATTATTAATATTAATTTTTCGGCAACTATTTTAGAATATACATGGTTGGTTTGGTGTTTGAATGGATCAAACAAAATGGTGGAGTCGAGGGTATGCAAAACTTTGCAAGAAAAAAGAGCAGCAAAATATACGATATAATCGATGGATCAGGAGGTTTTTATACGTGTCCTATTAAACGAGATGCACGCAGTAAGATGAATATACCATTTAGAATAAAAAATAGTGATGAGGAACTGGAAAAGGAATTCCTTTCTGGTGCCGCAGCTCGCGGTATGTTGCAGCTAAAGGGTCACAGGTCAGCAGAAAATGATTGTTGAAATAGTTTGTTATAATAAAATTGCAACGAACATCTAAAATTTCAATTTTACATTTACTGATTCAATTTGATACAATAATTGTAAAAATTAAAAAAAAATATCATTCTGATCAGATTTCTGATTTGATTTAACTAATTCTAATCATATGTTTATTAAAATCTTTATAATATTTTGTACAAATCCAAAATTTTTGTGTATTTTTGTGTAATATTAATAGAATAATTTTATATAATCTAATGAAATAATATTCAATTATCTTTTCACAGATCGGTCGGTGGAATACGTGCATCTTTATATAATGCAGTCACAGAAGAAGAGGCCGAATCATTGGCCAATTATATGAAATTGTTTTATGATGAATATTGCAAAAAGGCTGAAAAATAATTTGAAAAATTATAAAAACTAAGTTTTTTGAAAAATTTCCTCAAAAAGTTACTTGTAAATATTTTTATTATACAACTTTATATATACGAATTTTTCATATGCAATATATTTTAAATTTATTTACCTATATTTTGTTATATTTATAATTTTATCAATTATTATATTTATAGAGGATTTTGATGGATTTTTAAAGTAAACCACATGAGGCAAACAAAATATCTAATTCTTTTTCTAAATTGGAATTAATTTGACGACATCCATTTACAACATCTTTCGCCCACTAAAATAAAAATAAAAAATTCAAAATGCAATACTGATATAATTTTTTTATAGCTTTTACTTATTTATCTGTTAATAGAAATTTTACCTTAAAATATTCCTGTACTCTTTCATTCGTCCAACCAACAGGTATACTTCTCTTAAGATCTCTCAAATTATGCAATTTATCAGCCAGTGTTACTAACTTTCCTTCACGAGAAATATTAGGTGCGTGTTCTATCTGCAATCGTTTACGTTCAGCTTTTGACAATGTTTTATCATCAGTCATTTCTCGAACCACCTGAGCAACTTTACATCCAAATTCTTTTTCAATTTCCAAAAATGTAGTATCTGTATCCTCTACCGTATCATGTAAAATTGCTGCTAGAATTACAACTGGTTCAAAAACCATACCTTCTTGAATTAAAATATTTGCTACGCCTAAAAAAATTCAAAAATAAATTATATCTGTGTGTGTGTGTGTGTTTTGTGTGTGTGTATATAAAATAATGTTCCAAAAACTGTTTTCGTCGCGAACTTTTTTAACGAATTTGGAACATTCTCCCACAGTTTAAAAAATTAGTAATGTTAATAATTCCATAATTTTCCATAATAAATATGCATTTAATAAAGATATGTAAAATTGATTTTTATTCAAGTAAAACTACCCAGTCAGCAAAATGTTAGCAGAATGTCGGCAAACTGGCAACAGATTTAATCAGAAAATGTTAGCAGACTGACTTCATCCGAGGTCCTATTCTGTTTACATTCTGTTGACAAAACTTGTTGACATTCTGTGTCAGCAGACTAGCAGCAAAAATCGAGCAGATCCTGCTATCAAATTATGTTGCGCAGATTCTTTCTGCTGCTAATCTGACAGTAGTCTGCAGCAGGCTGCTCGATTTCTGCTGCCAATCTGCTGGCACAGAATGTCAACAGATTCTGTCAGGTTTCTGACAGCAGTTTACTAACATTGTCAGATATTGAACAGAATCTGTTAGCAATCTGTTGCTTTTCTAGCATCAGAAATTTATAACAGACTTTGTGCATAATCTGTCTTTTCAGATTTGGCTATCGGGATACGTAAAAATAACCTAAAAATAGAATATCTATTTACATTTTTCAAATTTACTTTCTAACTCTCAATTTAAACTTTAAAATTATTGTTATTTTTATCATTTTTCTATCAATACAATTCTATCAAACAATAAAATTAAACTTAGCCCTACATTCGAAGACTGTAGTGCTAATCTATAATTTTTGAAACATCCTATACATCATTTACATCGAATTTAGTTATATAGATTGAACCTAAAGGATGATTTATATATGGCGTTTCATCGACATCCTTCCTTCTTTGATTTCGATGTTTCTCCGCAGCAAAATTGGCGCATTTTATTACTTGCGATAATAATTCTTCTTTTGACAGCTCTTTTCCACATTTTTCGCAACTTTCATCACTTTTAAGAGATTTGACACATTCAGACATCACTGCTATCTCTCTCTCCTTCTCTTTCTCTCCCATACTTGAATGTACAGTTCTCAAAATGGCGATAAATCATGTGACTTTGTCCTCCCTATATCAAAGATGCCGCAACTAGCATAGCTGTGGTAGAACTGCATTTTGGAGCACAGCTATATCAGCCTTAGTCAAGGAACTGTGAAACTCATCCTCAAGAGAAAAAATTTTTAAAAAGAAAATAATCCTCTCAGAAATCGAACGTGAATACATCAAAAAGATAATCGATTTGACAAGAAAGAACTAAATATCGATTAATGATTCGACATTTATCGAATATTATTCATCGCTAGTCTACTTCTGATCTATATTCTATGTTTATGAATGCAGAGGTATTTCGCTGTGATTTTGCTGTGGACCGATAATAAACGAAGTTTTTATGTAGTCATGACTTGCTATTCATCGTTCTATGCACAATTATTTTTACGGTATGAAAATTGCATTGCTATATAAATATATTCTAATGTCTTAAAAGATTTATTTATACTGTTTATATATATATATATATAAACTATCAGCATCAATGCCAAAGGTTAGGTTAATTAAAATAGATTTCATAAAACAATGTTTATTATTCTAATTACAAACATGGTAATCTTCATTTTCGAAATGTTTGAATTTTAGAAAGTATGAGTTTTGTATGAAAATATATTTGAAATATAATATTGAATATGATTTTTAATGTAAAATTTTAACACATACTTATTTTCTAGTATAACATACTAGAAACATCTAGTATAACATTATTTTCTAGTACTACATTTCCTGAAAAAAAGCTTGTGTATTATTAATTTATCAGTTTATCAAACATTTGTTATATCATTGTACAGTGATGACAGTATTATCATACATGTTACATTATCATCATACAGTTTATCATACATTTGGATTTTAAATATATCATTTAAATTGAATTTTGTAGTTACTTTATAATTAAATTCCAGAAATATAAGATAAATGAATTTTAGTTTTTGTCACATTCAAATTGTTTGTTATTCTTAAAAATAAATGATTTATTATCAAAAATTATTGCTAATTACAATGTTGTAAATTGTTTTAGCAATTTTGGATACAGGAAGATATTCAAATAATTATATCATAGATTTATTCTACGGATACATCAATGACTAAAGATAAAAAGGTTCTAATATTGTATTTAATGTTATATATATGTTGCTTGTTTCTATCACCTATATATATATATATATAGACTAGTGTTTCTTTTTTTGTAATAAAAAGTAAAAATAAATAAAGAGTAATTAATAA